ATTCGCCATATTGACTGCCTTAGGTGAAACAGTGTTACTTCTTTAACAATTATTTGCCTAATAATATAGTAGAATTTTTTTATTTTTTCTCAGTGTACACATTTTGTGTTCTCACAAAGATATTTTATCTTATTTTATTTCATTTTATTACGAATATACTAAAAAAAAATCAAATTTTGTTTAGAAGAAAATATGAAATTTTATATTTTTGTTCCAAATGGGAGATTAATTTCTCCCCGTTTTTCTTCTTATTCTACTGAGCTAGGGCAGTGTCAAATCGAGCTGTCGCAACTGATACCACCTTGTATTATTGCATCATGGTATTATACAAGGTGTGATTGACAACTCAGGTAGGCTCTCTTCTAAGGTACTATTATGCCAAAAAATATAAACAAACGATTAAAAATTCATACAAATTTTTTCAATTTGGCTTTATAGGATGGTTCTTCTGAGAGCAATGGCTAATTCAGTCACACTTTGTTGAATACATTTTGGACATAATCGAATCTCAATTTTGCAAACTAATATTACATTTACATTGAGCCCAAATGCGTCATTTGGCCGAGAAATCTGAAATGCGAAGCTAAATCAGGCATTTCTCCATACAAATTCGCATTTCCAAAATGAAGCATTTCAACGCATTTAATCAAAACGGCGAAGCAAATGCGTTCCAATTGCGGAACTATTTTATTGAACACACTCAAAAACAAAAGCTCTCCAAAAAGCTTTATAGACTTAATAAATAAATCTTTGATATTTGTGTATTAAAATTGTTAATTTACGCATAAATTCGCACATTTTTAGTTAATGCAAAGAATAATTGCCTCTTATGTGTCCAAAACGTGTTAAAATATATAAGGCGTGCAGTGTTTGTTTATATTTCATTTACATTGAGCCCAAATGCGTCATTTGGGCGAGAAACCTCAAATGCGAGGCCAAATCACGCATTTCTCCATACAAATTCACATTTCCAGAATGACGCATTTCGACGCATTTACACAAAATCACGAAACAAATGCGTTCCAATTGCCGTACTATTTTATTGAACGCACTCAGAAACAAAAGTTCCACAAAAGCTTTGGTTTGTCTTTGACATTTGGAATTTTTCAAACANGGGAAGTCAAACGAAATGCGAATCAAGCAGTGTAAACGCCTTCAAATGACTGATTTCAAATCACGCATTTGGGTGCAATGTAAATGTAATATAAGGCTGAGTGTAGANTAGTTAATGCAAAGAATAATTGCCTCTTATGTGTCCAAAACGTGTTAAAATATATAAGGCGTGCAGTGTTTGTTTATATTTCATTTACATTGAGCCCAAATGCGTCATTTGGGCGAGAAACCTCAAATGCGAGGCCAAATCACGCATTTCTCCATACAAATTCACATTTCCAGAATGACGCATTTCGACGCATTTACACAAAATCACGAAACAAATGCGTTCCAATTGCCGTACTATTTTATTGAACGCACTCAGAAACAAAAGTTCCACAAAAGCTTTGGTTTGTCTTTGACATTTGGAATTTTTCAAACACAAAACAAACACAACGAAATAAATAAATCTTTGAAATTTGTGTGTAAAAATTGTTAATTTATACAAGAGCTTTACACATTTTTAGTTTAATCAAAGAATAATTGCCTTTTTGTGTCCAAAAAGCGTTAACAATATAATAAATGTAGTGTTTGTTTACATACATTTTGTTTTTGTCTTCCCTTTTCATTTGATGAGAAGTCAAAGCAAATGCGGATCAAGCAGTGTAAACACCTTCAAATGACTGATTTCAAATCACGCATTTTGGTCCAATGTAAATGTAATATAACGTTCATTTTGTTTTTCTTTTCCGTTTTCAATTGATGGGAAGTCAAACGAAATGCGAATCAAGCAGTGTAAACGCCTTCAAATGACTGATTTCAAATCACGCATTTGGGTGCAATGTAAATGTAATATAAGGCTGAGTGTAGATAACTTCAAAAACTGTACCAATATAGAACGTTTTTGGGATCAAGTAAGTGTAATTAAAAATGTATTGGGTGAAGCGGCCTTTGGAGAATTGTGTGATTTAGTTCATAGCATTTTTACAGCCCGATTCTGTGCACTTGATAAATTGAAAATCTTTATAATTTGTCAATTTTTTATTATTTATCAAGAAATGGTATTCTAGCACAGAAATCAAAAGCTCATTTCTTGATAAATTATCAAGATTGAAAGTGCTATTGACAAATTGAAAATTCATGCGAAATGTATAAATTTTGTATATTAATAAATTTGTTTCTAACAATTAAATACTCCATGTGCAGGCATTTGAACCTGCGACATACGGAATTATGGTCGACATCTCTACCTACTCGGCTACGACAGTCAAAAGCCATGAACGAAAGACACAAGATCACGTAAGAACAAGAGAGTGAAAAAAGTCGATTTTTTTTAGCGGGTTCTACGCCATCTTGTTTCACTGGAAAACGAGCGAAAAGTAAACAAAGCAAAGAAAACAACGAAAACCAAAATTTGCCAAAATTATTGTCAGCCACTTTAAACGCACAATTTAGGTAAAATGATGCAACAAAATGCTTTAAAATGTGTTGTCTTGTTGAATTAACTCTTCTTTACTTGAATAAAAGTGTAAAATAGTGGTGCTTGTGATGTAAACAAACGCTCAGCTGACGAACCCGCTTTCGCAAACTTTTTTCTCAAAACCAGTTACAAATACAACGTCGCGTTCTTACGTGATCTTGTATTTTTGGTTCATAGTCAAAAGCTTTTTTGCTTTTAAATTCATATTTTTCATATGTGACAATGAAATCAGTTCCACTCATGTGGAAATCAGTTCCACTAATGTGGAAATCGTAGAGCTTTTTGTTTTATAAATATTGACACAGAATGCGAAGGAAGCTTTTACTTGATAAAATTTCTTTACAAAGAATTTATCAAGAAAACACAGAATTGGGCGGTTAGTCTGCCTCACAGTTCCGCATCAGCTGAGCGCAAATATTTGATTTAGCATTAATAAAGCCAAAATTAAGAAACAAATTATAATTTAAAACTTTAAATGATAATATACAATTGTGATGCACTTTTGATGCAATAAAAAAAAAAAATTATTATAAAAACTGAATTGGCATTTTTTCTTGATAAAGAGGAATAAACTCCACTCAATTTCCCGATGTAATAAAACTTGGTCCATTTTTTACCATTTGGTAAATTTTTTGGTCCGAAAAATAAATCTGAAATGGCAACCGTGGAGACAACACGTTAAAATTGTAGCGAGTGTTAACATCAGGAGCGCGCCTTCTCTTTTGCCCAAATACGTTTTTTGATTGGATGAAAAGAGAAGGCACACTTCTGATGTTCACACTCGCTACAATTACAACGTGTTGTCTCTTCTAAGAGATTCACGTTCTTTGTTATAGATCAGCGAAGCGCAGAAAGAGCTTTTGCTCTGCCAAAGAACGTAGATAACAAGAAGGGACAACTCGTTATAATTGTAGCGAAAGTGCGCAACAGGAGCGTGCCTTCTCTTTTCATCCAATCTAAAAAGGCACTAGGGCAAAAGAGAAGGCACGCCCCTGTTGCACACTTTCGCTACAGGGGCTGAAAACCTTTTGCAGAGAACACCTTTCTGTGTAGGCGGCCTTCGGCCGCATTTAGATTATAACCCTCACAAAGTAGAATTCTCTTTTTGTGTTGCGAAGAACAGGCGCTGAACACCTTTTTTTTATATATGTATATCAAATTAAAGATAATTAAATTCTCTATCAAATGATATCTAATCCGTGAAGAGGTTTTCGAGAAATAATAACTTTAAAAAATGCTTAATTTGAAATTTGACCTTTAATAATTGTTGTAGTTGTTGTTTTCCAAAAAAAAAATATATATATATCGTTACGTTCACCTCAATGATCTCCATCGATCCCAATATGATTTTTTTTAATTTGAGAATTGTAGGTGTTCTACATTTATGCCAATGTTAATGCCTTTTATTTTTATTTTCCTTGGCGAATTGTCCTCTGTTATATTTCTTTAAATACAATTTTCTTCTTGAATGAAATGCATGTGAATATTCACTCACAATTCGAAATCAATTTCAAGTTACAAATATAGGACGAAATGTTATGCCGCTCCGCTGGGTATACCGCACTATCCGGCACCGGAACTGCGCGACACCACGCGACGCGACATTTTTGCCTAGCCGTTCCCACGACAGTCGGGTCTACGTAACCGGAGCGACCCAGATTTATATCTGGCCAAGGACTGTCACTCCAGCAACACTCCCCAAAATCTCTTCGGGGAATTTGTATGCTGTTACAACAACAACATTTTTGCCTAGTTGGTCAACTTTGCCGCGCAGCGTCGCGTAGCTCCGTTGCAGCGTAGCGGTATGCTCTATAAGAATCCATGCAAAGAATATTTTGCCGCGCTGTATAGTGTCGTGTCGCGTAGCCTAGTGCGGTCGTACCTTTAACTACGCGACACGGCGCGACACTTTTTGGTATACCGCACTGAAACGGCGCGACACTTCGCAGCAAATTTTTTTTTATTTATTTGCGTCAAAACCTTCAAACAAGATGGATGCCAGTGACGCTGCTGTAATGTTAATGCCTTTCATTTTTATTTTCCTTGACGAATTCTTCTCAAATGTTATGTTTCTTTACATAAAATTTTCTTCACAATTCGAGATCAATTTCTTCAAGTTAAAAATATAGTACGAAATGTTATGTCGCTCCGCTGGGTATACCGCACTATGCGGCTCCAGAACAGCGCAACACCATGCGACGCGACATTTTTGCCTAGTTGGTCAACTTTGCCGCGCAGCGTCGCGTCGCGAAGCTCCGCTCCGTAGTGCGGTATGCTCCATAAGAATCCATGCCAAGAATATTTTGCCGCGCTGTGTAGTGTCGTGTCGCGTCGCCTAGTGCGGTCGTACCTTTAGTCATTGCTTGGCGCTTGACGCGCTAATTTAGGGATGGCAGTTATGCGCAACTTTCTGGCAATACGAAAAAGAAATGTCACATGAAATGAATTGTCATTTCTCCAACTCACATATTTGAAACAGAATACAACAAATTATTATTAATAATTTTTCAAAAAACTAGAGCTCTGCAATAATATCTTAAAGGGGTAAAAATGAGTGAGAGTTGGTTTTGTGAACAAATAGAAAACCTAAGGATCCAGGAGAGTCGTCTATCAACTCTGTCGGAAATACGTGTTCGTTTGAGTGAAATTGATGGATCTAGGAACGAACAGTTGGATGTTCTCGTCATTAACCGCTTACTTAGCGCTCCGGAAATGTATGACTGCTTAGAAGATGGCCATGAATCCTATCAACTCGTTACAGATATATTGTCAAGCTGCATGTCTCACCTATCCATAAATCAGAGTAACCTGCCGTCTCTTTTGCGACGGGCCTTAACACATCCGCAGCCTCGGATTCAAGCATTGGTGTTTAACACAATATTGAAAAAGCTACAAAGAGAACGAAGAGAAAATCCCAACTCCGATATACCCGCCGAACTGGTATATCATGTTTTAAAGGGTCTACGTCATGAAAGACCTGAAGTCGGGGTGCCTGCAATTGGAATATTATCAATTGTTCTTAAATCACGTATTGCTGAAGAATCCGTCAAAGGCAGTTTACTAGATATGCTATCTAGTAGTGAAACCATTAAATGCCGTGCTTATGAGCTTGCTGTAAATCTTGCAAAACAATCTCCGTATATGCTTCAGCAATCTGAGTTTTTACTGGACCGTGCTCTGTCAGAGCTCGATAACGATGATGTGCTTTTTCAAGTTAATATTCTTGAAATACTGGTACCACTTGCGGAACAAAATCATGGATTGCTTTATCTTGAAGAAAGACGAGTTTTTGAAATTATTAGCAGATGTGTAGAAAATCCAGATCAAAATCCATTAGATCACTTACTCATTCCAGGTATTTTAAAATTTTTTGGTAAAGTCGCGTCGGTGCAACCGGAGAAGATGATTATTGGATATCCGCGTATGATACAATGCTTCTTTGAAAGCTTTCTTGCCGGTGACGTATCAATATTACCAACATCATTTGATACTTTTGGTATGATATCCTAATTTCCTGTGCCAAATGGTAGCAAAGTTGTAATTTTTAATAATCAAAGTTAACCATTGTTATAGTTGGAATCATGATACAAAAAGAAGGTAGTTTCATTTCAGAATTTTTCACATAAAATAAGTTTTGAAGTTTCATAAATTCTACAAAATTATGAGCTACCTTGCCACATTGATAGGAATCAAACAATACATCAGAGGATTTAATGTTGCGCGTGGGAATTGTTCGGTTATTTGTACAATGATTTTGTGGAGGGAGCGAAGGGGGAGGAGGGGTGCACTTAATACTCCAGTTATTAGAAAGAGCGCAGTATAAACTTGAAGAAAAGTCAACCGTCGCCCTTCGGGGGCGCATTTCAAAATGGGGTAAAATTGGCATTTTCACAAAGAAAAATTAAACTCGTGTTGGGCCATCAGCAGTATATTTGCGCAATTGTCCTTTCCACGTTGGTCGTCTTCGGCCGCGCCAGAAAATAATAACATCATCAGTCCAACTCCGGTTACGCCATCCACATTATTTTTGCGCAATATCCACCTCCAAATTTACGAAAAAGTGCATATTTCAAACCGAAATTTTAGTTTTAAATTAAAGCTTAACCCAAAATCATTGTAGAAACAACCGAACCGTACCCGAACTGCTTTTCATCTTATGTGGATAATGCCTGTCACAAATACATAGTTTTGTGCTTATATGTATCTATGTACGTATGTATATAAATTTTTTTTTCAGCATCAAACTGTATTAGATCGTAGTATGTACTTTATCCTGGGAAAAGCAATTCACTTTATTTTCGAACCTTTGCACAGGTGTACCGAATTCTTGTAGTTTGGAAACGCGCAAGACTTTTCTTTTAATGTTTTTATCCAACTTCACCAACTTCAATTTTCAAGAAACCAAAATTTTGCTGCTAATGAATCTGGTAGTATGATTTTAGTTAAAAGTCATAAACTTGTTCAAAGTCAAGTTTTCGGCAACAACAACGAATGTCAATAAATGAAACTACCTTCTATTTTTGTATCATGGTTGGAATCATGATACAGAAATTACAAGGTAAAATCATTTTCTCAATTTGTTGGCCATAATTTTTTCTCTGACGTTTTCAAGCATTTTAAAATTACATACAGTCGCTCAATAAAGTTTAGGTACAGCGAATTTTTTTTCATTACCGGCAACTATTTTTTAAATATTTTATTTTTCGCTAATTTTTTATGCCATAGTTTTATGTAAATATGGTTAGTTCTACAACAAAAACACCAAAAATCAGAGTTCCAAACCTTGTGCAAAATTAAAGAAAATTCCGCAAAATTTCAGTCAAATATTGCACTTTTTATTTACACTGTTCAGAAAAAAGTTGAGTACGCAGTTTTTTTAGCCCAGGGGTTCCCAAACTTTTTTCGCCGCGGCACCCTTGTACTAAAAAAAATTCGCGGCACCCCTACTCTTCAAATGTCTACGAAAACAAGAAAACACAATGCAAACTTTATACTCCTTTAGCTTTAATGTGAGGACTGAAACTGGACCACGTTAACCGATTACTATAATTCTTATTTTTAAAAGGAAAGGTGTTACCTCACAGGTGGCCCCATTCTAATTTAGGTTAAATCCGATCATTGGATCATGAAGAGATTAACGATAATCTTAAATTTTTTATGAGAATTGAACATAGAAATGTAAAAGTAAAAGTCACTAGTATTTTTAATGCAATCTTGCCAACAGCAGTGTTTTCTGCACACACTTGCATCCATAACTCTCTTGGCTCCCTTCGTAGTATTTAATATTCAAAGTGCTGTCTTCACTGATGTTCAGAAGGTTTTCAAAATCTTAATTTTTCATCTCAGTAGGTTTACTTTTCGGGTCACATGAAAACGGGTTTGTTATCCAGCTGTAGACATCCTTAGAGTCAATGTTGGGAAAATATTCGACAATGGTTTTTTCTAAACCTTCCAAGTTAACGCTGGTAATGCGCGTTAACGCTAAGGAAATAACTTTTACAGCCAATTTCATGAAAGCAATTTAAGTGAAAAATGATTTTAATTTTGTGAATTTTATATGGAAATTGACAGAAAATAAAGTCATTTTCCATTTAAACTGCTGGTGAAGCCGGCTGTTATCAATTTTCTTAGAGTTAACTTCGAAGTTACATACGTTTTTCTGATTTACNAAAAGTTGAGTACGCAGTTTTTTTAGCCCAGGGGTTCCCAAACTTTTTTCGCCGCGGCACCCTTGTACTAAAAAAAATTCGCGGCACCCCTACTCTTCAAATGTCTACGAAAACAAGAAAACACAATGCAAACTTTATACTCCTTTAGCTTTAATGTGAGGACTGAAACTGGACCACGTTAACCGATTACTATAATTCTTATTTTTAAAAGGAAAGGTGTTACCTCACAGGTGGCCCCATTCTAATTTAGGTTAAATCCGATCATTGGATCATGAAGAGATTAACGATAATCTTAAATTTTTTATGAGAATTGAACATAGAAATGTAAAAGTAAAAGTCACTAGTATTTTTAATGCAATCTTGCCAACAGCAGTGTTTTCTGCACACACTTGCATCCATAACTCTCTTGGCTCCCTTCGTAGTATTTAATATTCAAAGTGCTGTCTTCACTGATGTTCAGAAGGTTTTCAAAATCTTAATTTTTCATCTCAGTAGGTTTACTTTTCGGGTCACATGAAAACGGGTTTGTTATCCAGCTGTAGACATCCTTAGAGTCAATGTTGGGAAAATATTCGACAATGGTTTTTTCTAAACCTTCCAAGTTAACGCTGGTAATGCGCGTTAACGCTAAGGAAATAACTTTTACAGCCAATTTCATGAAAGCAATTTAAGTGAAAAATGATTTTAATTTTGTGAATTTTATATGGAAATTGACAGAAAATAAAGTCATTTTCCATTTAAACTGCTGGTGAAGCCGGCTGTTATCAATTTTCTTAGAGTTAACTTCGAAGTTACATACGTTTTTCTGATTTACTTTCTTTATTCATGCAAATTGCTAGAAATTCTAAAATACATATACATGTTACCAATAAAAAAAATCTCGACGTGCTAGAAAAAAACCAAAGATGTATTTTAATTTCGCAGGCCTCTGTTATCTTCGCAGCGTCATCCAATACGGGTTTTAAATCTAGTGGCGGCATCTTCCTAGTCGCCAAGGAATACGGAGGGATCATACAGTGACTTCTCGTGGAGTTTTCTGCATATTGCTTCATCGCTCCTTTCGTTTTTCCAACCACTGCAAATATCCGCACACTTGCTCCTTTTCAAACCATTTTTCTGTACAAATTTGTAGATAGCTTTAAAAATTTCGTCGCTAGTGGTGTAAGTCTCAAGTACTTCGCTCATCAAAAGTTCACCTTCGATTTGTATTGCGAATGAGTACCTCACTAGCACGAGAAGAACATTAAGTCCCACTACGTCGGTACTTTCGTCAATTTGCAAATTAAAAAATTCACAAGTTTTCATACTTTTTATAAGTTCGTTCTCGACTGCCTCTAAAATCGATTAGGTCTACAAAAGTACCGAAAACGGTTTTGAAAAGGGTACGTTTTCGCCTATTTTTCTGATTCAATTTTTCGTTGACAAAACGTACTGGGGAACTACGCCTAGAAGCGAAATACACCACACAAGCGGCCTTACAACCCAAGCGAAATATCTATTTNAAGGGTACGTTTTCGCCTATTTTTCTGATTCAATTTTTCGTTGACAAAACGTACTGGGGAACTACGCTTAGAAGCGAAATACACCACACAAGCGGCCTTACAACCCAAGCGAAATATCTATTTGCTGCAAGCCATTTGTGTTGTGTATGGGGTTTGACGAGCCGCTGAAGGTAATTTGAATAAAAATCAAATTTTTTTGATTTTCTGACCGCCATGTTGAAGCGTGATCAAACCGCTTGCGTTGTGTATGGAAAATATAAAGAATTTGCACGCACCACTAGTATACGACGATTCCACAAGCCGGAGTAACGAAAACCGTCAACAAAGATTGTCGTGTGCACTTGCTGCTTTTTAAAACTGCTACCATATACATATGTACATATGTATTTTTCTACGAATTTTCTTATTTTTTTAATTTGTTTGCTGTTTTCCGTTCATATTATTTGTCACAATCATACGACTGTATACTACCCAGCGGACCAAATGCTCGCAAATGACGCAAAACAAACTCTAGCTAAAGGCTCGTGTGTTGCTCCGCTGCATATGTACATAAGCAAGAATGATAGAATACAAGATTGCGCCGTCCTGGGCGTTGACATTTGTGTACCACAAGTAAACAAAGAATAGAGCGAAAAGAGAACGAGTTAAAACTTCCAAAACAGTTCACTTTACAGCGAAAAACGTGTTTTAATTTAGCTAAACGCGAAAATATTGCATTTTTCACCTAATCTATTAGAGAATAGGTAACATTTTAGTGCACTCCATTGCTTTGCAATTGAGGCTGCTTCAGCAAACGTTTTAGTGCACTCCATTGCTTTGCAATTAAGACTGCGGCAGCATCTCCGCGGGATTGATTAGTTAACTTGCTAATGGAGGCTGCTTGGAGCAGAAGCAAAATCATTGTGAGGAAATGCTGTTAATGTAATAATAAAGAAACATTTCGGGAACGGCTTGCCGTGCCCTATGTACACAAAATGCAGCGATTCGTCCCAACGCTACACTTGCATCTACGCATCTTGCATCTTGACGGCTGTCGCAATTTAACACACAGCACTTCATTTTATTAGTTTTTACGCAGTCTTCAACTCAAAAATCACTCACAAATTGCAAATTAACACAATTTAAACTGATTTTTCACATATAATTAAATTTCTCTTTCGCTGATTTGTAAACAAAGGTTTGTTTACAAGTTACCACAACTGTCAAAATCGGCAAAACCAAAGTAGCGGTACCACTGACGGCGCCACCTCTGTTCGCTGCACCGTGCATCACCTTGTATTTTTGCATCTTGGGGAAAAATGTAGAAGAAATTGACGAGCAAGTCG